TTCAGAAGTTGGAGAGATGGCTCAGTGATTAAGAGCACTGACTGTTCTTCCAGAGGACCTGGGGTTCAATTCCTCAGCAACATGACAGCTCACAACTGTCTGTAACTCTGGCTCTAGAGGATCTGATGCCCTCACACAGACACACATGTAGGCAAAATGCCACTGCATATAAAAGTAAATAAATTATTTTTTCAGATTTTATTATTTTATGTCTTTTGCCTGCATGTATTATGTGCACATGTGCATGCCTGGTGCCCTTGGAGGTCAGAAGACAGCACTGGATCCCCTGGGCCTGGATGAAATTACAAATGGTGTGAGCTACGTACCACATGGGTGCTGGGAACCTAACCTGGGTCCTCTGTAAGAGCAACAGCTGTTCTTAACCACTGAGCCATCTCTTCAGATTCTGTCTTGACTAAGTTCTTTATAGATGGAATTTTCATGGTTTCATTTAACCCTTTGATTGCGAAGACAGTACATTTCATCTACATTTCCCACACTCATGTTTGTACAGAAAGCATTTTACCCAATGAGTCATTCCAATTTCACCTTCAAGACGGGGGCTTCATGTGTGTGTGTGTGTTTGAGTGCATGCACGTGCGTGCGTGTTTGCCTGTGTGTGTGCATGCATATGTGTGTGTTTAGCTCAGACTGCCTTGCACTCCAAACCTCTTGCCTCAGCACCTGGGTCCTGGGACTGCTGTGTGTGCTACCACACCCATTTGCAATCCGAGCGGGAAGACAGCACTCCACCCTCAAGTCTGCATCTTGCTGTCTACTGGATGATTTGCTCAATTGTGGGGTGTGTCCTGCTCACACGTTCAGACACTTGACTGCCTCAGGTGGTTTACACCCAGCTGCTTCCTGAGGCCACACTATGTGCCGCTGTTGTTCCTGAGCCTTTTCCTCCTTCTCTTCCTCCAGGGCTGAAGGTGGAATGTCTGGTCCTAGTATTCCTTTTCCCTTCTTGGTATCAAGATCTTCTGTGGACAGCTATGCTGAAGCTGACCCTCCAGGCTCTGTGGAGCCTTGGGGTGTTGGGGCTATCTGAGATCCTGTTGTGGCCAGGGAGCAGGCCAGGGAAGGCTGCATCCCACTATACCTGCAGGGGCCCGGGGAAAAAGTGCTCTTGGTGTGGAGTAAAGTTTTCAATAGTGTGTCCTAGATCCTCTGGACAGAGATCACTTAGGTAGCAGGGGTAACAGACGGGCAGCTGCAGAGCTCAGGGAGGGGAGCTGTGCTTGGGACAGAATGTTTGTCCCAATGACTTGGCTTTCTTTACCTGACCCGGCTTGTCTTGGCCCCAATCCATCATGGGGTAGCAACTGGTGCTGGGTGGTTCATGCGGGCTTGTCCAGGCATAGTAACTAATCTGTAATCTGGATGATCGTGAAGAAACTCCATGGGCCGCAAAGTGGCGTCTGTATGGCTCTTTAGAATCTGAAATATTCCTTGGTTCCTGACTGGAAAGAGGTTTGACCTTCCACCCTCCTTGGGACAGCTGACAGAGGAACCTTCAGATAGCTCTCTCGGTATTTCTAAGATCATTCTGGAGACAGAGCAGGAGCCAGGCGGCCGTCTGGGAGACTGGGTGGTTGCTTAAGACTGGTGATAGATCCTTCACATCCCAGGGTTCCTAGGGTCAGAGATCTTGGGAAAGTCCACGTGCCCCAGGGTTCCAGCCACTAAGTCACCTCAGAGCACATTCCAGAGCCTGATGGGACTTGAAGTTGTAGACTGGAAAGGAAGAGGTGGAAAGAGTAGGCTCCCTGGAGGAACATGGAGTTTAGAGGGCGGGGCCAGATCTGACTGGATCCCTGGGGAGTTTCTAGGAATCTGTCACCTGGACGTGGATAGCTATATCTTCCCAAGTACCTTCCTTTCAGAGAGGGACATTCTGGGCTGGTACAGGGCCAGGGTGGGTAGTCTGGATACTAGATCCAGGTCTGAAGGGAGCTCCCACATCATTGCTACATGGGCCTTAGAACTGTAGGGGCTGCACTATGGGATTTGGTCTTCCACTCTAGGTCCTCAATGGCCCTAACTCAGAAAAAATGGACTATTGGGTCCTTTAGGGCAACTAGGTTGCCAAGTCTGCAGAAACTGGTTACTGACGGTGCTGCTCCTAACCTTTGGGAGACAGGAGGAGAAGCAATGAGACCCTGGAAGCACTGTCTTGGTTTCTGTTTCCCTCCTGGGAGCTCTGAGTTATTTGGTTTGAAGGAAGAAGGGATGGGGGATGGCAGCAAGCACAGCTGGCTATCCCCAGCATCTGTGGGATGGTGTTTGGGCATCTGTGACATACCCAGTGGTTGAGGTTGAAGTTTGTCAGCCACCTGTCACAGGTCCCCATCACTGAAGAGTGAAGGTTCCCCCTGCTCCCTGCCGTGTGCCACTTGTTGGAGGCCATGCACAGTTTCTGAAGCATCTTTTGATTAATAGTCAGAACCTAGGCAGGGGTGGAGATCAGACTCTGAATGGAGGTTCATTGGAGAGTCTGATAGCAACACCTGATAGGACAGTTGGTCTTACCAGGCTGGGCATCTCAGTAGGTAAGGGCTACAGAGCCACAGCTAATGCCCATGGTCCACCCCTACTACCCAACCCTCTCCCCTCTCCGTTACCGCAGTCAAAAGAATGGGCAGCTGTGACCGTTTGGACTCGGAGATCACCCTTTCCCATTCTGGCTGCGTTGAGGTCTTTGTCTCATGTTGAGTTATTATCAAAATTTCTTAGCTTCAGGGGATCTGGGGTCATTTAGGAGCCACATTAGAAGTGAGACAGAAGCTGGGTGGTGGTGGCGCGCGCCTTTAATCCCAGCATTTGGGAGGCAGAGGCAGGTGGATTTCTGAGTTCGAGGCCAGCCTGGTCTACAGTGCGAGTTCCAGGACAGCCAGAACTATACAGAGAAACCTTGTCTCGAAAAAACAAAAAATCGAAAAAACAAAAAAAACAAAAAACAAAAAAAAAAAAAACAAAAAACCCAAACAAACTGCTAAAAAAAGAAGAAGTGAGATGGAGTGCTCCTTTAACCCAGACTGGGTGCTCAGGGATGTGTCCACCTGTGTGCTCCTGGGCCCTGTCCACCATAGGTGATGCTTCCTGATGCCTCCTCAAACCTCATCACCCAAAGTCCTCTGTCATTTCCATTGTGTGGATGAGAAAAATGAGGTTGATGCCGCATCCCTCGGAGGACTGGAAAGAACTCTCCCAGCTCAGAATGGCTCTACTTTCTCCCACCCCTGTTCCTTTCCAGGCAGTCAGCATTTGTGGAGCAGGATGGAAAGCTGCTGTCCTGTCTTCGTCTCCCATTCCGGGTTGGGAGTTTGTTGGAACTGGGTTTTGTGCTCTGTGTATGCAGATGGTGAGTCCTGTGCCCCAAGATCAGGTTGCAGCATATTGACCAATGTGCTGTAAAGAATGCTCCCCAATAACCTCTGATTGGATAATAAAAGGTTAGAGCCTGTGACTGGGCAGGAGAGAGAAGAAGGTGGAACTTGAGATGAGTAGGGGGGGTCTCAGCTAGGCACCAGGAGGAAGAAGGTAGAGGAAGGAGGAGGTCCCCATGAGGGAGGATGGACAGCGAGGATGGGTCGTGAGCTCGTGGCCAAGAGAAAATCGCTCTGAGGACACACACGGGGCAGAGCAAACACGGCAAGATTCAGTTGGCAAGTAACATGGGGCTTATGGATAGGATGTTATAATAGTCTCAGAATCTGTCCGGTTTAAGCTTACAGTTTGTTAATAAAAACACCAGGTTTCTGTGTCTTTTTTTTTTTGGGGGGGGGGAGGAGAAGCTATACAGGCTAAAGTGGGGCAGAAACGCCTCCCCTAAAATCACTTCTATAGGAGATGAGGGGTGACAGAGCAGGGAAGTGTCAGTGCCTATATCTGGCTTTGTTGCAGGGCCCTGACCACAGGGGAAAACGGAAGTTCGGGGAGGTTGACAGCCTTGCCCAAGATCCCCGGTAAGTCCAAGGTGCCTGGGTTTAGCTTCCCAACCAGGGGAGAGAGCTGCCACAGCCACACAATAGCCCAGGCTTAGGCACGAGCAGAGTGTGGTGGTTTGAATGAGGTGAAAGTCTGAGGCAGGCAGCAGGATCCCTGGGTGCATGGGGTGCGGTGGGGGCGTGTGCCACCCGGCAGTAGGCGCAGGCCAGCAGGCCAGGGCCTGGAGGGCAAAAGGTCTCATTCTCAGAGATAGCGAGGAGGACGTTGCCACTCTTTTGCCAGAATCATAGAAGGAGCCCACAGCCTTGGGAGGGGGTAAGTGGAGGGTAGAATGGGATGCAGAGGTGGGCAGCCCCGGTCCGAGGGCGCGAAGAGAACAGTGAGAAGGTCCGCGTTGGGTGGGGTCCGCGCCCTGGGCGCCTATAGAGCGAGTTCCGGCCTGGTTTCCCTGTTAAGTGGAGAATAGCAGTGTCCGCGCCGTCGGGGCTCAGCGGTCAGGGCGCCCCCTCCGGTAGCGGCGCGGGGTCCGGGTGGGGAGGGCAGGGGCGGCGCCAGGCAGCGGTGACGTGCGCGGGGGACGTGCCGCGCGACGGATGAGAGCACTTAAAGTCGCCCCCGGCTCGGCGCCGGGCAGCCGAGGCGGACAGAGGTGGACACAGCAGCTGACGGTAACAGGTAGGCGCGGCGGGATGCTTGGCGCGCGGAGCGAGACTGGGACCCTCCCTCCAGTCGCCCAGGGGTTGGGGGCCTTCGATCATCAGGTGCCGGATCCCGACCTGGAGCTCCTGGCCTCTGATCCTCTCCCCTCCTGGTTCTCCAGCCTGGTTCTCTCTTGACTTGGAGAATCCTCTCACTACTGCGGCTCCACCAAAGAGCCCCGAGCAGCCAGTCGCGCGCTTGCATCCTGTTTCCCTGCTCTCGTAGAAGCCTATCTATCCATCCGGTAGCCCTCGGGGACTGGGCTTCATCCAGGAGGCAGCTGCCCCGGGCGACCAAACGTCCAGAGTATAAATAGCTCGGCCCAAGAGGGTTGGAGGGTGGCAGGACGGCCGGGCCGGGGAGCCTGGGCTATATTTGGTGGGAATGCTACAGCCTTCTTGGATCCCCAAATCTCCAGCGGGCGTCAGCAGGCCGCCCGGAGAGAGGGACACGTGCGCTTCGGAATGGTGCCAGGTTGGGGGAGGAATGCCCTCGGGTCTCCTTTCATCTTTTTACATCTACCTTTACTACCGTCTTAAACTCATTAACCCTCACCCAGCCACTACTATTAGCTCAAACTAGACATATGAAAGTGGGATTTCCCTACAGAATGCGCTCGGTTTGCTCTATTCCTCATCCCGTAGGAAAACAAGGCACGCGGCCTCAGTTTTCTTACCTGAAAAGTGGGTTGACTAGGCGCCTGCCTGCCTGAATGCTGGTCCAGTCAACAGACAGGCTCAAGTGCAAGGAAAGCCGTTAACTCTGGACTGCTGATAAGTGCTTGGAATCTGGGTGACCAGCAAGAGGGTCGCAGGGTCCCGGCGACAGGAACACTTTCTGTGACGATCTGAGTCAGGGCAACAGGTTGGTCTGAAAGACAATAAACAGCAAGGCCTGCCCCCATACAACACGGACTCATTAGCTTTCCCAAAGCTGGGGGTGGATTCTGTAAGAGCAGGTTATCCCCGAGGGCTCGCAGCATCATTCCACAGGCCCAAAAGTTGGCTGGAGTCCAGTGAATGCTGGGTCTGTCGGTGTTGAGGAATGAGGACAGTCCTGAAAGTGTGGGGACTCACTTAGGATGAGCAGCGACTAGTGCACGGTTAAGATGGTGTGCAATGGATGGGTCTACCTCTCGAGGGGCGTTGATGACACTACCGAGGTACGTGTGGCCCCTTCTTGACAAGGACTTTGTGGTGTCGACATAACCTTGAATAACCTGTGGTTTGGTTCCAAGATGGACTTGCACACATCATTAGTGACCTTGGGCAGGGCTTGCTCCCCATAAAAAACGATCTCACTGCTTGGATGCCTAAATTTGGAGGGGCAGCGAGTAGAAAGCACAGTCGGTCTCTTAGAACCGTGGAAGGGGCCAATGCGTGGGACCCCATAGTATGCCGGTTTTCCGGGACTCTAGGGGCCAGTCCTGCAGTGAACTGGTCAGGAAGGGGAGGGCTGGTGAGGGCCAAAAGCAGACGGCACCTTGGGGCCCTATGCGGGACTTTCTGGATGGTTGGTGTTAAGCAATTGGAGACGTCTCTGGACCAGGCCTTGGTCCACCTGGCACTGTGCACTGGCTCAGGAGCAGGTCAGGAATGGAGACCGCCCTAGCGGCCAGAGCAGACTTCTGGCCGTTGTTCCCATCAGTGAAATGGGCCATGAAGGGGTAGATGGATAATGAACTGAGAGACCCGCAGCTCATCTCAGCATCTCAGAGGCTCTGCGGCGCGCCCCCGCTCGCTTCCGTGAAGGGCAGAATGAACTGGCCTGCCATGCAAGCGAATCTGCGGGTGAGTCGTAGGTCTCTCAGGGCATGGGGCGCCGTGTGCTGCAAGTACGGTAGAAGCAGAGGAAGACCGCCTACTTCAGGCAATACGGCGGCGGCTCCTCCCTTGGCGCGGTCACGTCCCCCACGTCCCGAGGCCGCTTGGGCGGAGCTTCCTTCCCATCCCGACCCTAGCCCGACCCACTGAACCCCGCCCAGGTCGACTGGACCACTACCTCCAGTCGGTTGCCGCCCTCTGATCCAAGCCCCACCTCCACCCATACCTCAGCCATCTCCAGTCCTATTTCCTCTTTGCCAGACAGTGATGGGAGTTGGGGGGGGCGCTTATGACACCCCCTTACCTTTAGCCTTAGGTCCTGACTTTAGGGAGGAGCACTGCATGGGAATCGAGGGCTCCTTAAGATAGATACCCTTGTGGAGGAGTGGCCTGCGCAATGCTCAGCAGGCCTTGGTGGAACTTTGCATAGAAGGGTCTCCCACAGAAAACTGGAGCAGGTCTCTAGGGCTGCCCCATTTTGTGACAGCCAAGGGTCCTCACAAGAGGAGGGATCTCAGGGCTGAGGTGGGGTGGTGGTTGGCTCTGGGCAAGAGTGTCTATTTTGGCAAACAAAGCCAGTATTTCTATCCCACTGATCCCTGCGAAGTTGATGTGAGCTGACAGGACAACGTGCAGGGGAGCTAGGCACGCATTGGAGGCTGGGCAGGCCAGCAGAGACAGGATGGAGAGCCAGGCAAGGCCGTGGCCCATCTTCTGTCCATGGAGGCCTCTCTAGAAAAATCCCTTTTCCATGTTATACCTTTGCACACGGTGGGCTCAAAGCTTAGGGCTCAGAGAGGAGAGGCACATTGCTACACCTTTTTTGTACAATGGTGGGGTGGGGGAGGGAACTTGGAAGGGGGGGTCTTTCAGCAACCTCCTGCCCCTGCCACCCCGAGATACTGGGTGCTGGCCTCAACTGGCTGTTTACTTGTTCTTTGGGTATCTGCAGGGCAACACACGGGATGGAGTTGCCTTAGTTCCTGCCGCCTATTTTGACCACAAAGGCAGGGGGCCAAGGCTGGTCCCTCCTCTGGTAACAGGCACTTAATGGGCACCTGGTCTGCCTTCCTTGAGCTGGTAGTCCAGGTCCTTCCCCGGCTGGCGGAAGGGGTGAAGTCCAGGCCCTCAGATACAAAGAGCTGTTCCAGAGGACTTCCATGTACCTGTGTCATAGGCCACAGCCAGTGGTTAGGGTTTCCATCGGCCTCTAAGTGGCCAGCCCTCAGGAGCACCCCGGAGCCTCTCTTGACCCAGCCCCCATCCCCAGATCAGTTTTCTGTGACCTGGAGGCTGAGTTATTTCTGGGAGGCTTCACATGCTTCCCTGGGAGGGTAAATGTCACTGAAAGGCCAGATAGCTAGGGTGTGCCCATGTGATGTGCTGTTGGAGGTGGGGCCCTCGTGGATATAGGCAAGGAAGCTCTAGGGTTAGAGCATTTTGGCCCATCCATGTTCTGTTACCCTGTGGACCTCATCCCCGAGGCAGGCTGGATATCTTAGCCTTTTTACTCTATTGGGACATGTTTAGGCCTGGTAATAAACAGCAGGCCCAATAGCAGGCTTAAACTCCACCCCTTGTTGGGAAATTGTGATCTCCCTGTAAAGTCTCCCTCTGCAAGGTCTCTGGTGACAGGCTGGGGTGGGCACTGGTGAGGTGCTATTAAGGTAGTTAGCGCCCGGGCTGGGTAAGGATGTCGTGGGGGCTGGGCTTCAGAGAGGAGCTTCCTGTCTTTGTGCCATCATCTCCTGGCACTAAAGGTGGCCCTCCTTGTTTGTGTAAGTCTTACATGGCAGCCATAGGTCAGAAAAGTCCCAGAATAGGTACTCTTTTAGCCCTGATTGCCCTTCAGGACCGTAGTTCAGAGGGCACCTCATCTACAGCAGGTAATTATGTCCCCGCTTCCGACCCCTATGGATTCTGAGAGCTCCAGCTAGGGCCAACCTTTGTAATAAGCAAAGGTAGAGAGACTTCAAAAGGCTGAGATGACTGTTAGTACCTTGACAACTGCTAGGTATATCTGATAAGAGGCCAGAAGCTCAAGCCTGGGAGCCCCAGCTCCTCTGTGGGGGCCTTAAGGTGTCCAGAGCTAGGCTGGTGCTCACTGCTGGCTCTGGGCATGCTCTCCTTCTTGTTTCACAGGGAAACTGGATTTTATTTTTTAACATCTTAATTTATTTTGTGAACATGGGGGAGTGCGGGGATGGGGTGGGGCACAGGAACGTATGTGCCTGTGTGTGTATGCCGTTGCTTGTGGAGGTCGGAGGACAACCTGCAGGGGTGGGTCCGCTCTCTTCTTCCATCATGTAGGTCATGGGGATTGAACCCAGGTTGTCAGTCTCAGTTGAAGGTGTCTTTACCCAGTGATCCATCTTGCCCACCCTGGATTTATTTTAAAGAGTGCAACAGAATTAATTTCAGCACTTAGAGTCAGGAGAATTCAAGGCCATTTAGGGCTACATAGTGAAATACTGTCTATACACACAGATACACACAGACACACACAGTGAAATACTGTCTACACACACACATACACACAGTGAAATACTGTCCACACACACACACACACACACACACACACACACACACACACACACAGAGTGAAATACTGTCTACACATACACAGACAAAAAAGGCAACAAACTTCTGTAAGTCCACAATCTGAACCCCCCACAGAATTGGCCATGCCGGGGGTGGGGGGCACCCTCTCCATGACCACTCCTTAAATTCTGGGCCCGCAGAGATCCTCATGTTTTCTGTCTTTTGGCTTCATCTCTAAATGGTATATCCCTAAAATGTACCCGCTCCAGTTTTTAAAGATTCCCTTTTAAATAATCTTGAGGGCCTTTCAAAGTCAGGGCTAATGGAGAAGAGGTGCCTGGGGCTCACTTGGGGCTCCCACTGAGCATGTCCTGTCAGTGAGTCTTGGAAGGGGATGCTCAGGTTGGGCCGTGGCCAGATGGTCAGATGTGGGGTGCAGCCTTCGAAGGCTGGTGTGCATTCCTAGCAGAGCTGCCTGTTGTCTCTGAACTTCAGGGAGACCTGGATAGAGTCACACTGGGCTTCCTAGGACAGTCTAGTTTAGCACACCTGTGTCCCAATCACAGGACTGCTCACAGGAGAAAGCCAGCAAAGGGGCAGGGGCAGGGCTGGAGCCCAGAGGTCCAGGCTCAGCGCTCCCAGGGTGAGCAGCCAAGGTGGGAAGGTCACCTGGTCAGGAGTTTACATTTCAGCGATAGCTGCCCTTATACACATCATGGCTTAATTTTTCTCCCCAGAGTACTGTCTGGCAGCACACCATTTGTGGAGAGAGACGAGTAGGCTGGACTGAACACAAAGGTCAGAGGCCGCCCTCGCTGCAGCTCAATTCTTGGTGAGATGGGGGATGAGGCTAACCTCTGGGACTGGGAGAATACTGACTAGGGTGCGATTAGTCAAACAGAAGCTTGGTCTTAGCTTTCGGACTTGTTTGTCTCACATCGATTAGGCCCTGAAATTCATGAGAAGGGAAGTTAGGGCTGGGTGGGTGTGGGGTTTGGGTCAGCCTGTTTCCACAGACTGGGCTATGAGCTGCTGCCATGGCTGTTTTCTCCTCAATCTTAGACCTTCCCAGAATTCATCAGCATCATTTCAGCTTCTCCCCAAATCCAATGCCCCAGATTGTTCCAGGCAGAGTTACAGCCGCTAAGCTCTACCCAGGGAAACTGGGAAGCGAGCTCCCCTCAGACACCACAGCCTGCTTCATCATCTGCCTCTCCCAGTCAGCCAGTGGAATCCAGAGAGGCCAAGGATCCAGCAAAGCTCCTCAGGGAATAGGAAAGTAGGGTGGGCAGAGTGCTGGATATCCATCCTAGACATTCTAGTGGAGGATTTAAGGGTGTGCCCTAAAAGGGACAGGAGGTACAGGTTACTGCCAAGGCTACTGTGTGGGCACAGTGTCTACCCGGCATGAGTTCAGAAGACGCTGGCTAGGCTGACTTCTTGGGGTCTGCTCTTCCCAGGAAGTAATGTAGAATCCTGCTTGAGCCCAGAGCCACATGTACTTTATATCCACCTGTGTGGAGACAGGCAACTGAATAAGGGGTCTAGACAGCTTCCCAAGGTACCAGTTAATGGGAGCCAGGGGTGGGAGGCCTGAGCCAGCAAGAGCAGGCTGCCCATGGCTGAGCTGCTGCGGGAGCAGCCAGGTGCCAATGCTGGCACTCTCCAGGTGCCTCGCCTGTTTCTGACCCCACTCTCCTCTGCTGGGCTGTGGCCGAGATGGTTACCCTGGCAACCCGAGTCATCCACGTTTCTTTTCTCTCAGGTGAGACCAGCCCTCCTGGCTATGGGAGGAGCTGTGGTAGACGAGGGTCCCACCGGCATCAAGGCCCCTGATGGGGGCTGGGGCTGGGCTGTTCTCTTCGGCTGTTTCATCATCACCGGCTTCTCCTATGCCTTCCCCAAGGCAGTCAGCGTCTTTTTCAAGGAGCTCATGCATGAGTTTGGGATTGGCTACAGTGACACAGCCTGGATCTCCTCCATCCTGCTGGCTATGCTGTATGGGACAGGTAAGGTGGGACCCACAGGGAGCACAGGGGAATGGGTAAAATCTCGGAGTAGGTGATCTTGCCGGAAAGCTACAGTTTCTCTAAGTGCGTAAGTTGTGTGGTCAGGCTCCACAGGCAGTTCCTTCAAAGATGGTTGATGCCTGTTGCAACCTGTTTAGGCAATGTGAGAAGCTGAGCTCTGGTCAGTGTCCATGAGTCAGTGCTTGGCACAGGGCCTGACATATTCTGGTGGGCAGGGAGAGGGCAGAGCCAGGCTGGAGGCCTGGGCCTGCCCTCAAGCTACCGTCTTCACACAGGCCCGCTCTGCAGTGTGTGTGTGAACCGCTTTGGCTGCCGGCCTGTCATGCTTGTGGGTGGCCTCTTTGCATCCCTGGGAATGGTGGCTGCCTCCTTCTGCAGAAGCATTATCCAGATCTACCTCACCACAGGGGTCATCACTGGTGAGTCTTGGACCTGCAGACCTCAGGGTGTTAGGAGAGATGAGTGGGCTGTGGGACTTCTGCTCATCTGTCCCCAGTTTGGGGGGAAAGTTAAGGGCTGTTGGGCCCCTGGGCTGTATCCTTCCCTCCCAGATGGCACAATAGTCTATGACAGCAGTGATACAGTCCTGCTGGGGGTGAGTGGCCAGTGTCTGAGGTCCTGGATGTTGAGACCCATTAGATGCTCATCTTCATCTGCAATGGAGCCCATGTCCAGGGAAGCTGAGGCATGGACAAAGGTCTGGGGAGACACAGGGGTCTAAGCTGCCTTGCTTGGGAATCTGAGTCACGAGGTCTTACACTGCCTTCCCTGCAAGTCTTGGTCATGGGGTTTAACTGCACCCTCCTTAGAGGTCTGGGGTTTCACACTGCCTTCTCTGTAGGCTTGGGTCCCAGGGTCTCACACTGGCTTCCCTGGAAGTCTGGGGGGGTCTTACACTGTCCTCTCTTACAGGCTTGGGTCTGGCTCTCAACTTCCAGCCCTCCCTCATCATGCTGAATCGGTACTTCAACAAGCGTCGCCCTATGGCCAATGGGCTGGCAGCGGCAGGCAGTCCAGTGTTCCTTTGTGCACTGTCTCCACTGGGGCAGTTGCTCCAGGACCACTATGGCTGGCGGGGTGGCTTCCTCATCCTGGGGGGCCTGCTGCTCAACTGCTGTGTGTGTGCTGCGCTCATGAGACCACTGGTGGCACCCCAGGCGGGTGGAGGGACCGAGCCCCGTGGACCCCAGCGGCCGTCTCAGCGCCTGCTAGACCTGAGTGTCTTCCGAGACCGTGGCTTCCTCATCTATGCTGTGGCTGCCTCAGTCATGGTGCTAGGGCTCTTTGTGCCTCCGGTCTTTGTGGTGAGCTATGCTAAGGATATGGGTGTGCCCGACACAAAGGCCGCCTTCCTTCTCACCATCCTGGGCTTCATCGACATCTTTGCCAGGCCCACGGCTGGTTTCATAACAGGGCTCAAGAAGGTGCGGCCCTACTCTGTCTACCTCTTCAGCTTTGCCATGTTTTTCAATGGCTTCACTGACCTGACAGGCTCCACGGCCAGTGACTATGGTGGCCTGGTGGTCTTTTGCATCTTCTTTGGCATCTCGTATGGCATGGTGGGAGCGCTACAGTTTGAGGTGCTCATGGCTATTGTGGGTACTCAGAAGTTCTCCAGTGCCATTGGTCTCGTGCTGCTGTTGGAGGCTGTGGCTGTGCTCATCGGACCCCCGTCAGGAGGTGAGTGCTGCTGGCAGGGGAGACTAGGACAGGGCAAGGTCTGGCCTCCCTGAGGAGGGGCTTCTCACCCCCTTCCTCTCATACCCTACTTTAGGAGACTGGGGCCAGCAGGTGTCAGCAGCTAAGAGCTGGCTCTGAGCCAGGGCAGGCATAAACTTGACACCTCTACACACAGGGCCTGGCCATTTCCTCAGAAGTCTGCATACCACGCGGGAAGCTTTCAAGGGAATGGGGCAATGTTTGCTATGTTGGTCCTTTTACTTTTTAAAGACTAGCTGGAAAACAAAAACAAAAACGACAACAACAAAAAAAACACTCCATTGAAATTCAGAATGGTTTGGGCTGGAGAGGGCAGCCTAGCCATCCTGGACTAGGGACTCTTATAGCCCTATCTGACTGACTTACACCCTCTGGTTCCTTCTTTCTCCCAGAATGGTCTTGGGGGTCCTCAATTAATAGATATAAAGGGGCTTGGTAAGCCAGTCACAGACTGGGACGGGGGTGTGTGTGCAAATCCTCAAGACCACATCTATCTATCCTTTTTGATTCAGTCTTTGTTCCCATGGGGAGAAGAAAGAAGAGACTAGAGAGGGCTGGGTGGGTGGGTGCCACTAGGGATGGAGTTCAAGACAGGGTGACTGCATGTCTGAGGCATTTCCTCAATGCAGGAGATGGAACCCTGGCCCAGGGTGGAGGCAGGGTACTCCCTGGAGCTTCTAGTGACCCGGGTCTTCTTTGCAGGAAAGCTGCTGGACGCCACAAAAGTTTACAAGTATGTGTTCATCCTGGCGGGGGCTGAGGTGCTCACCTCCTCCCTTGTGCTGCTGCTGGGCAACTTCTTCTGCATCGGGAAGAGGAAGAGGCCCGAGGTGACAAAGCCTGAGGAGGTGGCCTCAGAGGAGAAGCTCCATAAGCCCCCTGTGGACGTGAGGGTGGACTCGAGGGAGGTAGAGCACTTCCTGAAGGCGGAGCCTGAGAAAAATGGGGAGGTGGTTCATACCCCGGAAACCAGCGTGTGAGCTGCCTGGCCGGGCGGGCGGGCGGGCAGGGAGCAGGGAAGAGGTCCAGAGACTGGCAACGCTCATATTTATTTCACAAACAGGACCAGCTGAGGCGGGGCCATCGGCTCAGCTCTTGGCTGCCTGGTCAGCGGGTCAGTGTTTTGCGGGGAGAGGTGGCGGGGTGGGAACCGCGTCATTCCAAAGTGGATCTGCGGTGAAGCCAAGGAAGCCCCACAGTTACCAGCCGCCTATACCGGGGACCCAGCCTGCTGAGCCCAAGCAGCCTGTGGCTCCCCACCCCCACCCCCCACTGTGGCCAAGCACCTAGAAACCCACACTTAGGAGACAACACGACTTTAATCAGAGGGCAGGGCTGGGACAGGCTGGCAGGTGGGCACTGCCTGCAGGGTCCTCCCTGATCCCACCATCCTTACCCCCATCTCCAGCCCTAGTCTCCTACACTGCCAATCATCCATCTCTGTCTAGGGGACAAAGAACTCCTTCTACCTGAGAAGGCAGAAGCAGACCTGTCTGTGGGAGGAGCATCAAAGGGCCTGTCTCTAGGAGCTGTGTGGTTCTGGGCAGTGGTCTGTTCACTGAGTCCCACCTTTGTTAAATAACAAACTGCCGATTCTTACAAAGTGGTTCTGACCCTCATTAGCTCTCCCAGTTCTGCCTGCTGTAACATTCTCTGCTGCCCCTAGGGTTTGTACAGTAGCCACAGCATTCAGACAGCAGGAAGAAAAGGGAAGAGGGGAATAGCAAGGGGGGGAGCCCCATGCTAGAGAGGGGTGCCTGGGTGGCATTTGGAGGCCATGGGGAACCCCCAGGGGCGAGCTGAGATACAGCATAAGCTGTTCATTGCGTGTGGGCTTCCAACATAAGTTTCCTGCCTTCTGTTTATTCACCCCTCTGGAGGGCTGGTAAATTTCTCTATGTGGTCAGCACCTGCTGATCTCTGTTCCCCGTCCACTGTCCAGCCCATGCTCAGCACTCGGGCTTGCCCTGGGCACCTCACACCCACCTGCCCTGTGGCTGGTGGCGAAGCCCGGTCAGAGGCCGCTGGGGCCGCCTCAGTAGGTGGTACGTCGAGGGCGCTGGGGACGGCAGCGGGCACCTTGGCGGGCCGCATGCAGCCGGAGAGATGCCATGTCCCTGCTCCTCTGCAAGGAAAAGGAGGCGAGTGCTCATATCTGGGCCCAGCCTCCCACACCCCATGTCAGGTTTGGCCCTGCTCAGCTCCATCATCTGGTCTGTTTTCTGTACTAGGTGGTCAGCTGGTGGGCACTGCTGGTAGTAGCAGCGGCCACACACATCCTGGGAGTCTCATTTGCCAGCCTTACCAGAGCTAGTGGGAATGACAGGGACCCTAAGGCTTCAAGATAGCTCAACTGGCTACTAGCTGCCTCTAGAAACCAGAGGAAAAGAGGCAAAGTGGTGGCAAGTGGGTAGCCTTGTGAAGAGGCACTGGGCCTCTGGACAGTCTGCTCTACCCACTCTCAGACCCACTTAGCCCCCCCTCCTATACCCCCAGGCTTCAGCCTCCTGCTTCTAGACCCAGCTGCAGCAATTATGCAATGGAATTTTTGCTGGAGAGATCTTGGAGGGGCAGGCTCCTAGAACTATCTATACTGCTCAGACTCATCCCGGATGAGAGCAGCAGGCCATACTGCCCCCTTCCACTTGTGTCATCCCACCCAGGGCATGTGATATTTGAGAACATGAAGCAGCTAGGAAATGGCAAAAATGGGTCAGGTTTCCTACACATAGACAATTATGGATAAGATATTAGGACCATTTTTTTAGTAAAGTTGTTCTTCATAGGGGGAGACAGAGTGGGCTGGAGCCTTTATAAGGGAGATGCTGGGTGGTTCTTAGGCCTACATGTGATGGGACCCCATGGGGTAGCAGTCTCCAGGCCCTGTAAAGAGCAGCTAGTTTCATCTGTTTGCATTTCTGGGCTGGGATATTTTCCAATTGGAGAAAAGGAAACTCCCTGTCCTCAAAGTATGGCTGCTGGCGACCAACCCAAGTGATGCAAGCCAGGAAAACTTATGGCCTGTGACTGCTCCTGCAGTAGCTGAGGACATGAAAAAGAACATACTGTGAACCCTATAGGGGCTGTACTGACCACTAAGGGAAGGTTGTATTTAGGACCCTATGAAGACCCAAGCCTCAACTACAATGGAGAGGCCTGGCCATCTAGACCCACCTATAATGGCCTGCAAAGGTTCCACCATCTCTGAACCATCTCTGAACTAGTTTACAGGTTACTGCTGTCCTACCTGCTGGTCTGTCTCTCCAATCCCTGTACCCTATTCTCTGGTAGAGAAGGTGAGGATGTGGCTGACTCAGCAGCCAAGTGGACACAGATCCTACACCATCTGGAGAGTCTGGGCAGGGCTCCTGGAAGGCAGCTGCTCAGATGCCCAGGGGATTGTAGGGCCATCGAGTCTCCAGTGCAGATAATGGGCTCTTGGGTGTGCAGCTCACTCAGCTCTCGCTCCTTTCACCCTCACAGGAGGGAAAGTAGTCCCTAACACTGCAATGCCCACTTTGCCTTGCTAAAAAATTGCAGGGAGCGCTAGGCTGGGGAAGGTGCCCATGTAGACAGAGCTAGTACCCACGTTTCATCTAGCTCAGTGGTTTTCAACCTTTCTAGTTCTGTGACCCTTTAATACAGTTCCTCATGTTGTGGAGACCCCCAACCATAAAATTATTCTGTTGCTACTAAATAGCTAGTTTTGCTATTATGAGTCATAACTATTAATATTTTTGGAGACAGAGATTGTGTCCCACAGGTTAAGAAATTTTGTCCTAGCTAATGAGGGAATGGAGTGGGACAACAGATTCCCTTCTGGAATACACCAAGTGAGCCAGAAAGCCAACTTGGAATGTTCAAGGTAGAGGTAGAAAAGACTGAAGAGTAACTTGGAAGAGACAAGAGCAAGGTGGGGGTTGGGGCTAGAGGGCAGGACAGAGGGAGTTACTCTACCATGTCCATACTCCTGCATACAGGGAACTACCAAGTGGCTTTTGGTCATAAATCTTGCTAGAAATTTACTACAATTGAGCCTTAACTGGCCTACAACTGCCCAAGCTCATCAGGCTGTGGGACAGATTAGGAATTCCCAAGAGGTCAGGTTTCCAAACAGAAACAGACCTAGTTCTAGCAGCCGGATAAGACTCCTTGTCCTCTGAATAGGGTGCTGCTGTGGAAAACTCCTACATGGATTCTCCCAGTGCATGCCAGAAACTAAGGCAGCTGGACATACCCACTTGAGAAAGTCCCTTCTGGACAAGGTGAAAATCTAAGGAACTAACAGAGGCCTGTCTAGGTCAGGTACTTAGGAGGGGTGTCAGAACATCACTGAGGAAACCCATACATATATCTACTACCCATGCACGCCACAGTCCAAGAGGGAATCGTATTTCTGGCATCTGCTCCACCTAGCTTCCCAACACCCCACAAACCTGAAAATGACAAGCAGGAATATCATCCTAAAAAAGCTGGCTCTGTTGGGCTTGTAAAACCAACAACACACAGGAGGTTGACACAAGCACAAGGATTGCTCAAGAGTTCCAGGCCAGCCTAAGCTATAGAAACTACCAATCTCAGAACCCCAACCCACATCAAGTTATCTTTCAAGTGGCTTACACACTGCTGAAAGAAAGACCACACAAAGGGGAGGGAAGAAAGGTAGAAGTCATTATGAATTTATTATTTACACAATTGTTAAAGTACACAAATACAGTGGTAGTACAAACGCACAGCTCAGACTGGTCACCAAGACACAGGTTGATACACACATTCTAACTATGCTTCCTGCGAGTGACGATGGGATTACATATTGGGCAAGAACCGTCAGAGCCACACCCTGGAGGACTTCCAATGGGCCTAATCTCAGCACAACCCAACAGGGCCAGGCTGAACCTGGGCTAGTCTCAAGGCCACCCCATACCCTCCAGCACCACAGGTATCTACAAGAACACTTGCCAGGCAGGCCTGCCACTGGAGGGAGAGGATCAACTCTGATAAAGATTGCAACAAAAATCTCAAACTTGCCTGACCCTCCCAGCCTCCCTCTGTACTCCTAGACACAGTCCCAACCAAGTCAAGTCTCTGCACCCTAAAATGCTTGCAGAGTAACCAGCTCAGGATTTGGAAAGAAGCACCCACAGGCTCAGATGGCTGGCAGGCACAATTAACAGCCACATTCTGGGATGCTATCACACATCAGCAGTGTGTCCCCTAACCCTGGGCCAATGCTCAGAGCCAGGGAACTCTGGGAAGAAAGGAGAAGCCATGGTGGCACCATTAGAGCCTAAACCTCCACAGGGAGTGAGGTACCCAGCATAACTCTCTCGATAGGCTGACAGGAAAAATAAGAGATGGACCCACACACATGTACCACACCCCATTTCTCGGGGAGCTCAGGTCCTGCCGTCTCTTCATATCCGGTGCACATGGTGGGGAAGAGCATGTTGGCATCCTAACCGCCAGCGGCAGAGCAGCCCAGCCCGCAGATGTGTCCAGCTGAAGATCATGAAGCGTGTGGTACCACACCTTTCTGGAGGTGAAGGTTCTAGAGTCAGGTAGGCAGTCACCTGCTTCTTGGCACTTCAGGGTTGATCCCCTTTGGCCACTGGTCCCTCTGGGCAAACCATGGTGTCTAGGACAGCCTGCTCCCTGGCTCTGAGCAGAGAGGCAATGACAAACCCAAGTGGCAACTGCATGGGACTATTCAGTCTGTTCTGCAACTTCCCAAGTTCAAAGGCATAGAGACAACCAATCCTACCAAAACAGCAATCCTCTCCCTAGAAACCACAAACACAAGCTCAGCTTTGAACCTGGGAGCTCTCCAGCAGCCTATAGGGCTTCCAAGGTCTCAGCATGTGGGCTCTTCTGTTCCACTTCCTTCCTGTCTCCTTTGGGAAGAATGCCATGCCATGGGCTTGCTGAGGCTCTAACTGCTGAACCCTCACTCCACGGCAGTTGTGCTCCACCTGCTCTGATGACTGCAGGCATAGCAGTTTACAGTGGGAAAGAGTAAGCAAGATGCCCAAATAGGCTGATGGGAGCCCACAAGACACACACACACATACACAACTGATGAGAATTTCCTTTCCAAAGTGAACAGCACGACACGAGAAAACAAAACAAAACACACATCCTTGACACTCACATGTGCCCCTCTCTTGCCTGCCTCCATTTTACACAGAAGCTCCAAGCCAGCGTCTTAGGATTCTTTAAGGTCAACATCTTTTTTTGTTTAAGACCGCAAAAACAGACAAGAAAGAAACAATAAAAAGACAGATTTCTTTACACAGATTTAAGCCAGTAATTTTTAGCAAAATGATACAAAACTGTCTTAACCAAGTAGAAGACTGGTAGCTGCGGCGGGATCATCAGGGAGCGCAGGTCCGCCACCACTGGTGGGAGCTGAGAGGCTCTTCACAGGGAGTCGGGTTCTCTCTGCAATGGTCTCCCAGCCTCTGCTCTTCGTCCCAGCCCCATGATAACTGAGCTCACATGGGGCCACGGTGGCAGCCCCTGGCGATGGCAGCTCTTGGAGCCTGTCCATTTAGTTTGTGTTTTGATTCCCCATGTGCATCGCTGGGTGAGTGGCCTGGAGAGCTC